CCAAGAGGAGCCATACAACTACCCGAGTTCCCATGTCTGGTAAATGATGGGGCTGGACTCAAGCTCAGATCTATGCGGAGCAGCCCCAATGCTCCCACCCACTATAGCACAGTGTATCTCAACTGGTGTCATTGGGTTCTGGTGCAGGAGAGAGAACACTGTCCCAAACACTATTTCTTATTTATTTATTTGTATGTATGTATTTATTTATTTGTATTTTAATTCCATTATAGTTGACATATAGTGCCAAACACTAGTTCTTAAAGGCAGGAACAGCTGGTTGCTGGAAGAGTTTTACTGAGTTTGCCTCAAAATATGTTTATAATCTGATGAGCTTTATAATTTTATTTTCAAATTGTGTATTTCCCAGCATGTAAAAATAGAGTGTAGCCCATTGAAAAAGGAAATGAAAGACACAATTTACTGAAAGATTCTGTTATCTTTAATTTAGAAAGAAGACATTTACTTGCAAACGTTGCCATAGATGTCTCTGCCCCATGGATGACAGGACTGGAGAAACTTGTGGAAGATATTTCCTTGGTTGCTTTACCTGACTCTTCTGGAAGCTTAAGGCCTCGAAGCTCTGTGATCTCAGATGCTTAGATGAGAGCACATTCTATCTTGTCCCCTTATTTTGTTGTTTGTAGGTCTCGCTTCCCCAGGCCATGGCCTGCCCTACAGGTAACACGTATGTTCAGTATTATTGACACCTATATTCACCGACCTCTTTTCCACCTCTGTTATGGTAAAGGTGGTAGCTCTGCCCAGGCACCTATTCCGTAGAAGTGGCGCACGTTTTCTATTTGGAGATTGCCTAGCATCCCCAGCATTCCTGATGTCTCCCTAAAGATAATGGTAGACAGGAACACTCTGCTTACCTGAGGTGAAGAGATATCAGCCTAGCCCCCTACTTGTGGGCAGCCAAAGACTCCTCTTGCTTTTACTCACAGGGCCCTCCATTATTCTGTCCCAGGGCTAGGCTGGACACGACTGTTTCCTTGAGGTTCGCAAAGATATAACACAGCCACAGTCACCAAATAACCTGAGATGTGATCATTTTAATCTTTTTCTCTCTTTGTGGAACTGCCACAACTGGCCAGAAATGGTACCCAGGCTACTTAATTGCCTATGGAGCTACAGCATGAAACTAACAAGCTGCTCATTAGTGCACCCATTGCTTTCTCTTTCCTTCCTGTGGCTTCTGTTCCTGCTTTAGCAGCAGAATTATCAAGTTTTCTCCTAAGAAGCATATCTGTCCTACAGCAGTCAGCTCTTTGAACATTTAACTTCATCTTCCAAATCATTACAGAAAACACTTAATGGCTCTGTGCCCAGACATGACCCCTGCAGATCCCATTTGCAATGACCGTCAAAGGCAGATGGATCGCCACCAGTAAGTACTCTTTGCATTTGGCTTCCAAATATAGGAGTGGTTGGGCAACTGAGGGTCATTAGACTTTTCCAAATTAAATTCCTTCTACGATCTATTTCTCTAATGCAACGGAGGGACAGTATGTGCCCCGACACAGTGGATGCTAAGTTTAGAGGGACAGAATCCATGCTCACATAGGGTATTTGTTGAGGAAAGAACAAGGAGACTGCCACCAACTGGTCTCTGAATATGAAGATCTTTCATATTCATCATGTCCATTAAGTATCAAAAATGATGCTCAAATCTGCTGTACATTCCAATGCACTATGCCACCTTCTCCTTTCAACTATATCTACTGATAAGTTCTAGTTCCTGAATTAACTCACACTAAGGAGGCTCTCTGTGTGGTCCTTGGCCTCCATCAGCGGTCTAAATTTCATATACCTTGTAATGAAAATGTAAAAGGGTGCAGTTGCTGGCTGCAAGGTATTAGGGAATTAAAAGGACTGTAATAAATTGAAGCTTTCAGCCTCACCTAGAAGAATGCAAATGTAGTCCTAAGAACACACACGTACTGTACTGGCTGAAGGAAAACATGTCAGCTTAGATTCCACTGAAAAGAGACGAGTTTGTGACCTCGCCTGCAAATCAATTCATTATAGGTCCTTCGTGGAGTCTGAATCCAAGGCTCAAATGTGGGGTGGGGAGGAGAGGTGGAGTGGCAGTTAATGTTTAAAATCCCTCACGATTCTGATACCCTGTCTGCCCCTCCGGTTGAGAATAATCAACTTCAACATTAAACAATTCTCACATAAAATATATTGGCACCAAGACATGCTCATTCCCACTTATGCTTATGAAGTGCTGGCCCATGTGTGCATTTGCTACTAGCTGCAGACCCAGATCACATTAACAGAAATCTGGTGGGATCGGAAAGGAATCAGACATTTCTGGTTTTAGGGCTGTTTGGAGGCAAAGTTTGCCTACCTGCTGAATTTCAAGTGTTACCAGCCCTCCGGATGGTCTTGTTTTGATAATATTTCCTTTTCCCTGAATTGGGGGTGGGGTGGGGTGGGGAGAAAGCACCCTCAGTTATTGCCAAGACATTATTCTGGGTGTAAGAAAGGCAGAGTATCTTTAATTTGCTAATTTTGCCTGAAAGCTGTCAACAGAGGGCTAAGAGATGATTTTTTTCAGTTTGCTTTTCAATTAAGATTATTTTCCTTTCCTTTCCTTTCCTTTTTTTCCCCCCTGACAAGCATTTATGGAGCAGCCTGGGTCTAAAGCTTAGTTGTGTCAGGTTGGGCTTAGTGAGCAAGGCTTCCGGTAGTTGGGAAAGGTGGCTGGGATAAAATCATCTAGAGACTGAAGGGAGTATAAGCTCAAGTTCAAATCTGGAGAAAAATACAACTAAAGACATACTTTCAGTGACATTTGCTCCAAGTATTCAATGGCCAGCTGATGGTGGTGACAGGACATTGTCCTCTAATATCCCTTCTCCCTTATTTGTAAAATAATGGGACTTTTCTTTAGTTGGGCCCATGGGCTCTAAGGAAAAGAATATTTCAAGCCTCTCTTGTGCTTCAGTATGGCAATGTGACAGAATTCTGGACAGCAAGATATAAGAGGCAGTAGTATATATAATTTCTTGGAAGTGTCCTTAGAGAGAGGAAGTATGTTCTTTTCCCCTTTTTTCCTTCCTGCTGGTTGGAAGTCAAGTGGTGATGGGGAGAGCTGAAGCAGCCATCTTGGGCCATGAAAGGATTCTGGGAATAAACAGCATGCATGATGGAGCAAAAAGGTAGGAGGAATCCCTAACATCACGGAGAGCCATGCCATCCCTGGTCCCCCTGGATGTTTTCCATGAAGACACCCTTCTGTCTTGTTTATATTACCTGGCAGGGCGGGGTTGAAGGCAGGGAGGCAGTTTTAGATTACAGCCAAATCTTTTCCAGACTCATACATAAAGTATCAGGTGGATGTGCTGAAGTGGGGCTGGGACATTCTCATGCTATCCCTTTGAGGCCGAGAGGGGTCACATGTCATCACTATTACACCTGTGGGAAAGTCCTTCAGAGGGGTGAGTTCAGTTCTTCATCCCATTTTCCTTCTGTTGTATCCTGTGTCCCTTCTTTCCTGCCCGAGTCTCCAGCAGGTACACCTCTCACTTTTTATCACTACCACTCCCCACAGTACTTAACTATATTCTGCCTTTTAGTTTTGCATGTTCTGTAGACTGCGAGAACGTGGGGATGGAAAATGTCTCTTTTGTAACCCCTTCTCCCCCTTAGCATGCAAAACAAAGCATTACTTAAATTTCAGACACTCCACTCCATAATTGAATTAATTTGGAATGCATTTTTCAACCCCACTCATTACACCACTTCCTGTGTTTTTTCCACTCTCATCTTCAGATTTTCTGTTCTTTAGAGAAATTATCTTCACAGGAGACTGAATTATAACACTCTCTAAAATAGCAGCTCTTGAGGAAGGGGAAGATAGAAGAACTTCGGGGAGTCCACCAACTCTGCAAAGTTTTATATGTGGGAATATGAGCTTTTGCCTGGAGGGAAAGTACATAGCTTTCATCAGAATTTCCAGAAAATCATGACCCCCACTAGCCTAAAGAAAAAAAAGAAGAAGAAGAAAAATTCTTTGGCTAACATGACACCTAAAATTGGTTTTTGGATGGGGGCAAGAGAAGGAACAAGGCCTACTTGGACAATGCAGTTTATAAAGAAGATAAACCCACAAATAGATCAAAATGTTTTATGTATTGAAAGTTTGTTGTTGTTGTTGTTGTTGTTGTTGTTTTTTCGGCTTAACTTTCTTTCCCTGGTGTTGAGGAATAACCTTAATCCTTAATCCTAACTGAAGAGGCAACCAAACAGAAAAGATCAAACATACACTGGCAATAAACTGAAGCAATGCTTTATTGCGACCACAAAGCACCAATTCAACAAGGCATTGACACACAGAGATTTGAACAAATGTCTCTTTGAACAGAGATGTAGCAAGCTCGCTTTTTTTCAAGTTCTTAAAAACAAGTACTCAAACCAAGAATCAAACAAAGCATCAGAGCAATTAAAAAAATATTACACCATCATGAAGGAATATATATAAAAATATTCTGTACTAGTAACAAGGCTTTTTGATCTGTAACTCTTGGTAAATTCCTTCAGAAACAAATCAGTATAAATACAAACCATAAAGTGAAAAAATGCTTTCTTCTTTGGAAACAAAGAGCCAATCTGAAAGTAAATCTATGCAGAAAATACCATTACCCCTTGTGAAAGAAGCTGAATATGGATGGAGATCCCCAAGACACAACAGAGTTTCTCTTTTCAGAGGTTCTGCTCCTGTAGGGGCCATGATGCACATTCCTCTCAAACATTCCAGTATATCCCAGTGAAACCTTAATAAGGTCAAGTGGAGGACCCTCTATAAAAGAGGGTGTCGGCAATTCCATCCCAATAACGCAAACTCTAAGGAGCAGAGGGATTCAAGGGAGACAGCAATCTCTCTCTCTTTTCTCCCCTTCCCCAAGTTTTCTTGTCTTTAATCTCCCTACATCTGTAACCAGAGGATCATGCCATTCAACACTTTCTCAAGGATTTTGGGAAAGCCATCTGAAGAAAACCCCTTTGGTGGGGAGGGGTGTCCAACCATGTCAAAGATAACTCTGTTTGACAAGCTCCACCAGGAAAACCATGCTGTCCACAAGTCATCCTTGCTCCTCCTGGCTGAGTTCAGGTCAGCCGATGGATTGCCTAGTCTATCCCATAGGATAACGTTTCATTTGACTGAAATTCTTTACATATACACATGTATGTATTCTGTTTACAAAGTTTCATCACATGAAACTAAATTATGTCATTATGTATTTTTTGAGGTCTAAGACCCCAATTTGACTGTACTATGAAGAGTTGTTCTTTAGATGCTTTGTCTGCAGAGGTTTTACATGATACTCGTAGATTTTCAGAGCAGGCCCCAGTTTTAACTGAAGTCCTGTCAACACGTCATTTCTTGTCATCAATAGCAGGGATTTTCCATCAATTTCCTATAATGGAAGCAGAGGGTAAAACCAACATTAAGTCCAAAAGTGCAAGGATAAAGAAGAACAAAAGAAGTTCAAAGGAAAAAGACATACTGATTGTCCTCAAGCTAAAAACATTACTTCTTTTACTTGGGTCAAATGGAAAAAACGGACTCCTCTATTTTTATGTTCCATCTTCCACTTTTAGTTTTGGATTAAATACAATCCATAGCTGATCTCGTTTTCAAGATCACATCCCTTAAGTCTCATCTTAAAAAACTGACGGCAGGCTTGGCACATACACCTGTAAGGATTGGAGATATTGTTTCTGAAAGAAATAATGACACTTTCCATTTATAAAATGTATTGAAGTTTGTGCAAAATTTCTGTGTACTTAATTCCTAAAACAACTCTATAAATTAGGACAGGCAGGGATTATCAGCTTAATTTTACAGGCAAACCAAGGACCAAGGCAAGAAGTTAACGTGCCTAAGATCAAGAAGTTAGGCAAGGAAAACAGAGGATTTGAACTCATCTGCCTAAAGCCAAAGCCGATGTTCTTTCCATAACACCTTTGTTTCTCTTGACACTTGGAAGTAAATATGTGTAGTATAGGTGAACCAATGGGGTCATAGAATCCTAGGTTTTCTGGAATCTTGTCAATCACAACAATGGGCAGTGGAAAAATGATTCACTCGCTGTGAACTTCTTTCCTGTCCTTTAAAAGAAGAACCATCCTGCCTCAACCCAAAAATCAACCTCTCATGTTGAGGGACCTACCATGCTTCCTCTCAGTGGGTCCCCAAGATTCCAAATAAGGTAGTGAGGGGTAGAGCTCTCTCAGAGTCCACTTCCCACCCCCTTCAGATACCCAACCAGAGTGCCCTGGAGACCACAAAGCTTTGGGGATGAAATATAAACAGGCTTTCCACGAAAGGGATATGGATCCCAAATACAGAAAGTAGTTTGGAACTTTTGGAAAGGGATCACTGAGAAAGATGCCGAATACCACCTTATTTCTGTTATTTTTTTATTGTGGGGACAAGGGAGCTGGCTCTTAGGGGGCCTGGGCTCAAGAGATGGACCAGCTGTGCATGTTGGGTGAGCCTCGACATGTCTGTACAGATATATGCCTGCACACTTCTCCCCCACTGATGGACAGACAAGGGGACTGGGAGTGTAACTGTAACTACATAAAACTGTGATTCTTTAGTACAATGACCCCAACAAGGCCATTCCTCCAAACTCCCTTGTGTTTTGCCCGGCTATGAAGAAAATGTGCTTTGTATGTGTCAGTGTGTGGAGAAGCAGCACTGGTCTAGTGGGCTGAAGAAACACCCACTTCCTGACCGTAGGTAAATTCCTTCCTCCTCTGTCTCCTTGGTTGGTAATGTGGGGATTTGGGGGTGTCTGACAGGATTCCGTCACATATTACTTTTGCAAATGCTTCCTGAGCTATGAGTTGTACGATTACTTGTCAGTATTCCTCAACAGGCCCATGGTCCTCATGTCATTTGCCAACCACCTACCATGAACCAGAACAGAAGGACAAGGAATTCCTTCTAACTGCTCTATGGTGTTTTTGAACTCTGGAAACCTTTATTTTGCTGACAACTAGAAAAAAAAAGGTCTCACATTAATTTGTGAGAGACAACTATTCAAAAACATGGCGCATAAAAAAGCAGTTAGTTGACAGGGCAAGAGTGGAAAATTATTTCAGGACAGAGGATTTGACTTTCCAACCCTAAAATATTTTCTCCTCCTTACGTGGCTAGTGAGCCCAGAGACTGCCCATCAGTAAAACCTGTAAAGGATGAAAATTGGCAGAGGAACTTATGACATGCGGAAACCACAGTAGCAGTTCTGAAGGCACTCTGAGGTCACAGGAATCTGAATCATAGGTCCCTTCAAAGCTCACCATCTATCTTAGATGGACTGAGATGAAGATGGACTCACTTGGAACGCTTTAGAAAACAGCAAAGCCCTTCCTGCTCTCCATCTTTCCTTTGTTGTTGTTTGCTCATACTTAACTTCCTACATATTTTAAACGGGCATCAGGAAGAGATGACACTGCTTTCATTTCTACACAACAAGAAAACTTCCTTGACTAACTGAAAGTGAATTTTTTTTTTTTTATCTTCGCTGGCAAAAAAGTCCTTCTACAACTCAGCATTTCTGTCAAAAGCCAAGTATGTCTGTGAAAAATGCTGAAATTTGGATTTTATTTAAGACAAAATGGAAAATCAAGTTTCATGCTCCAATTTGATTTTCCCTTTGTTCAGTAGCCACACTGCAGTTCACCTCACACTAGGGCTGGTAAAAGAAAGCTCCATCTGGAAATCCTCATTTTAAAAGTTGGAAATGAATATAACTCATACATACAACAAAACTTTCCTCTTTGGTCATGACTATAGCAACTCAGATGAATGCCAGTGAAATACAACGTGATGGAAATGTGAGCTTCCAGGTCAAGCAAACTGCAGTCTGAACCCGTCTCCACAGCTTATTGTGTGACCCTGTGTAAAGGACCTGACTTTCCTGAGCCTCAGTTTCCTCACTTGCAAAATGAAAATAACCCCCTGAAGGATTCTAGAGATTAGAAATTATTCATTCACGTAAGGCACCTAGCACAGTGCCTGAGAGATAGGAGGTTCTCAATGACTACTAAGTGGCAAGAACAGGATGTGTTCCAATTCCAAATCCATCTACTGCTTCCTTTCTGGAAGTGTGTCCCTGCCTGAATGCCACCCTTTGCCAGAGGGATGTAGGCGTATTCCTGTTCAAGTTCAGAAGATTTGGTGAGATTAAAAAAGCTCAAAGACTACATCAAAAATTTGTCTCATAAAAATTGCAAACACAGAAAAGTTCCTTGATTAAGGAAGCGAATCATTTGTTACATAACTTCTATAAAAGACTGAGATGCAAATTAAATCCAAATTTTGCCAGTCAGCATGGTGTACTAGAATGAGCATGAGATTGGGAACCGGAAGACAGAGTTTCTGATGCAGACTCCATCAGTAATTTTCCACAAGCAGCCACTCCTCTGTACCCCAGTCTGTTTATTAGCATAAATGAAGGAGTTGGAGGGTGACCAGATCCAGTTAAATAAACATTAAAAAAATCCCATGATTTTGCATGTACATCATGATGAAAGCCAAAACAAAAAGATAGTTCACATCTTGGGATCCTGTTTACATCCCTGTGTTAAGGGATAATCATTTGTCAGTTTCAGTGAAACTTTGTACATGGCTTCTGTTTTCATGTAAGAGTAACCAAGTACTCGTTGAACAATAATATTTATGCAAAAAATCTTTGCCTACTTAATAAGTTCCAGCAAGTACTCATGCATGGAAGTAAGGTTTAGAGATGATAGGTGTAAATTTCCAATGAAGGCAAGACCCTAGATGTAAAAATAAATGAGTGGGATCCTTAGATGTCATAGCTCAGTAGATAAGCATGTGTTTTAGAGTAAGACATTATTTTATTGCTTATTAGGTGGGGACTAGGCAAGTTACTTAATCTCTCTAAGCCTCATTTCCTTATCTATATGATGGAGGAAAAGTAGCTACTGTATTTCACTGCTGAAAGAATTATTGAGATAAACACAGGTGAAGTAGAATGCCTGATATCTACCAAGTACTCAATAAATGCTAGCTATTTAAAAAAAAGTATATATAAAAAAATCTTAACCCATTTACTTTTCACTCTTTCTCTCTACAAATGCTAATCTACACCTTGGTAGATCTTTCAACTGAGCCTAATTGTGATATGGTCCACTGGAAATGTATGGGAAGAAAGATGAGGTGGGAAGAGAAAAGAGAAAGAGGTTAGGAAGAGAAAAAGAGTGGCCATCAAGAAAGAGGAAACTGGTTAATAGCAAGGAAGGACAGGGAAAAAGTCAAAGAGAAGTCAATGGGCTTTCTGATGATAGGGCCCTGCAACTAACCCAGAAGGCCATATTTGTGGTGGTAGCCTCCACTGTCCCAAATATCGTGCAGAGGAGAAGAAGGCTCAGTTAGAATCAGAAGATGGGGTGGAAGCCATTATCTGGCCCATTATTTGTTTCCTCTGTGAAACGAGAGGTTTGGACTAAGCTGACTTCTGTCCATTCTAGTTCAACACACTCTCAGATTCCAATTCTGTCTTTGATATGCATCAGACTTACCAGCCTTATAGGAAAGTCTCCCCATGAAAGAACAAAGCACAGACTCCTTACCGAAGACGTGGACGAATTTGACGAAATAGGCTGTCTTTTTCCACTTCAGTCTTCCCTCTCACGTTTTCTAGAACTTTCTTTGTAACAACTCTCTTGCCATTCACTATCTGGCTACAAGTGGAGACCAGTCTGAAGTTTCCCATTCCACTGCTTACAAAGGGTACAAATGTTCCAGAGGAAGGGGGATTTGGTCTGGAGCCCAGGGATACAAATGTGGAAAATCCTGTGTCCAATATGGTGATCACATCAAAGAAGGAGGAGCGAAATCTCCTGGCCTTACCCACATGACCAATGGAAAAATAATCTCCTGAGAAGAAGTCTTTGTCTTCAAAGACATTTTGAAACCCACAGTGTGGCCTCTCAAACCGTGGTGCCTCTTTCAAGCAGTTTTTATCTCTGCAGTCACCTGTATTTTCCATTTTGATGTGGTTCTCTTTGGACTTGTCATAGTTGTTGCGTTTCTCGACATCAGACAAGACCTCATAGGCTTCTGCTACTTGTTTGAATTTCTCCTCAGCTGCCTCCTGTTTTCTGGGTTCTTGTCTGGATGTACCTGAAGAGCTAACTGGCGGTAAGCCTTCTTAATATCAGAGGGGGACACGTTTTGAGGTACCCTTAGTACTTTGTAGTAATTCACCATGTTTCTTTAAAGGACCTCTCCTTACCAAGACAAAGAGTTTGTTTTCAGAAGAACTTCCACGTACTTTTGGAAAGTAAGATCGTGAACTACTCCAGTCTACACCAAGACCCTTTGAATCTTATCATATAGTTGTTGGAACAAACTCTTCTGGAGAGGAAATTCCTCTTT